ATCTCACTAAAGAGTCACTGTAGTATTATGGAATTTGATATAATCAGCACTGCCAACCATAAACAAGGAGCATCTGAATGACCTCACGATTTAGAAGGAATAATTCTTCTATTTGGACTATATATATGACATCTTCCATGACAATGGCAAGTAGGCACCACCCTGTTTCATGACAATAACTGATAACTGGTGGACCAATGAACCAAGTCTATCAAAGTTATTTCTTTGGCTATATCTATCAAGCAACTGTATCTGATAGTAACATGAAAGATGCATTTTTTGAAGAACACCCTTACGGATGAGTTTTGTTCTACTAAGTCAATTTTTTTATGATCAGTAAACAACGAATGCAACACAGTCTTGTATCTTCTATACCTTTCAGTCATTTTTGCAACTATAAAAAATATGGCAGGCTGAAGAAAATTTTTAGCAAAAGTTTTCCTGTTTTCTTATCATTGTTTCATTGAAGATATACTCTGCCATTTACTGCCTGTGTTACCTTGGGCAATTCTTTAACTCCCTTAACTTCCTTGCTAATGTTCTCATCTGAGAAATTGGGGGATGGGAGTGTATTCAATGACCTCAAAAGTTTCTTATGAATACTCTTAAAATGTGTGGAGATTGTCCTCAAGGTTTTTATAATAAGAATACGGGTAGATAATTAATTATTGATGTCCTCAACAATTTGATTTGTAATACTACGATTTATAGTTTTTTCCAATTAGCTGGTATTTTTCCTGTTTTTTGGACATCCTGAAAATTGATGCTTCAACATTTTTTTGCTTATGTTGCTTCTAGTAAGAAATGTTTTTATGTGTTCTGGTTCTGCTACTCAATGTAGCTCTACCGCAAAAGGTGATAAAGTTAAAATAGTACAGTTACCCTGGTAGACCTGCTACATTTTTTGTTTATGTACACATTACAAATACAGACTATAGTCTCATCTGCATATACAGACACTTCTTTCTCTGTAAATTCACATTACACAAATTTGATTTTTCTGGAAAAAAAAAATCTGTACTTCAAAAAAAAACCCTACAAAACAAAACCAACATTAACTTTACAATCTGTACTGCTTCTGTATGAGTGTGCATGCTGCCCCCCTTTAGATCAGGAATTGTGTTGTCTACTATTTCCAAATCTCTCACAGTACCCAGCCCAATGTTTTAGGCACATAAAAGATGTTTAATTCTTACTGCAACTAATTTTAGTTCCACAATTGAAATTATGATTAAAATGAGGTTTGATTATTTGAAACAATTAGGAGAGAAAAGACGAAATCAATAAAGTGATTTAAATATAAAATGTTCAATGATAAGATTTGTGTATTTAAAAAATTGCTGTGGAGGAGTATATTTCAAACCACAACTGAAATGCACCCAAGGTATTTTTCCTAACGTATGGGATCTTAGCAAAATCTCAAAAACAAAACAAAAATTTTAATGGCTCCACATTCCCTACCAAATGATCTGGTATTCAAAGATCTGCATAATCTGATACCAATTTATTCATCCAGCTCTTATTACACATTACTTTACTACTCTCAAATCACACTATATTTCAGCAAAGTTGGACTGCTTCCTGCTTTCCCATCTTGTGTTCCTCCTTCCCTACCATTAAGTGCATTTATTCTGATTTAGAATGGCCCCCCTTTAACATTCTCTTCTGAAACCTTTCACTGCCTTTTTATTACCTCTTCAATAAAACCTTTCATAGTCCAACCTTATTAAATTATGACATTCTGTCTGACCGCCTCTATATACTTAATTGTCTTCTACTTCCTAGAATTATTAATTGCACATATAATCATCTCCCCAGCTAGGCTGAGTTCCAACAAAGTTAGTGCTATTTTTTTCACCTTTGCTTCCCCAACACAGCACAGTTCCTTATCTATAACTGGAAGGTAAACAAAGTTTCTTAACTCAATAACAAAATGAAGGAGAAGGAAAGGAAACGAGATTGCCTCTCCAATTTCTCCCCATATCTTGCCCTATCTCCACCTATCTTTCTAAGATCAGTTCTAAGGTGCCACATTTAACAAATCTTAGTGAGAAATAATTTTCTCTTTTCTTAGCTCATTCCTAGCACTTTATACCAGAACTAAATGTGCTCTTATGAATTATTTCCCTTACAGAATTTGCATACATCTTGTTGCCCATACTAGATTGCTAGATCTAAGAGGTCAAGGGCTACACCATATTCTTGTTTATATCTCCTTAGCTCCTGTCTAGTATATGTTAGTCATTTAAAAATGTTTTTTGAGCAGGTGGACTTCAGAAAAACCTGGAAAGACTTATATGAACTGAGGCTGAGTAAAGTAAGCAGAACCAAGAGAACATTATATACAGTAACAGCCACATTTTGTGATGACTGACTCGGACAGACTTAGCTCTTCTCAGCAATACAAGGAACTAAGACAACTCCAAAAGACTCATGATGGAAAATGCCATCCATATCCAGAGAAAGAACTATGGAGTCTGAATGCAGATCAAAGCATAATATTTGCTTTCTCTTTGTTTTGTTTTGTTTCTTCTTTCTTGTGGTTCCTTCCATTCATTCTAATTCTTCTTTACAAGGTGGCTAATGTGAAAGTATTTAATAAGAATGTATATGTAGGGCCTATATCGGATTGCAGGCCATTCTTGGGGGGGAAGGGGATTTAAAACTCAAAAGCTTATGGAAGTGAATGCTGAAAAACAAAAATAAACTTTTTAAAACATGTTTTTTGAAATGAATTATCTGTCAATATCTAAGCTGTATTGTGGATTATACAGTAAGAATATGCCCAAAGGGCTATAAAACTGCTCATACCATCTGACCCAGCAATACCACCACTACTAGGTCTGTATACCAAAGAGATGGAAAAAAAGGGGGGGGGGGGGGGCATATATGTGAAAGGACTTATACCCACAAAAATATTTATAACAGTTCTTTTTGTGGTGGCAAGGAATTGGAAATTGAGGGGATGCCCATCAATTGGGGAATGGCTGAACAGATTGTGATAAATGATTGTGATGGAATACTATAGTGCCATAAGAAATGACTAACAGGATGATTTTAGATAAACCTGGAAAGACTTAATGAACTGATGTTCAAGGAATCAAGTAGAACCAGGAGAATATTGTACATAGTATCAGCAATATTGTAATGGTAATCATCTATGAAAGACTTAGCTATTCTGAGCAAAACAATTATCCAAGACAATTCCAAAGGACTTATGATGAAAAATGCAATCTATCTCAAGAGAAAGAACTGATGGAGTCTGAATGCCAATCAAAGCATATTTCTTCTATTTTCATTATCTTTCTTGGGTTTTTCTTTTTGGTCTGCGTTTTCTTGGACATGTCTAATATGCAAATATGTTTCCAGATGTATAATCTATATCAAATTGCTTGTCTTCTCAAGGAGGGCAAAGGAGAGAGAGAATGTGGAACTCACAATTTTTAAAAGCAAATGTTAAAAATTATTTTTATGTGTGATTGGAAAAAATATAAAAATATTTAAAAAGAATAGCTAGTTTATGCCGTATAAATAAGATCTAACTGGCTAATTAATTTCACTTATGTAGTCTTTCTAAAACTTGAGATGTTCATCATTTTTCAGTCACATCAGACTCTTTAGGACCCCATTTGTGGTTTTCTTGGTAAAGATACTGAGATGGTATACCATTTCCTTTGCCAGCTCATCTTACAAATGAGAAAACTGAGACAAACATGTTTAAGTGACTTGCCCATAATCATACAGTCAGTAAGTGTCTGAGGCCATATTTGTACTCACAAAGATGAGTTTTCGTGACTTCAAGCCTGGCACTCTACCCACTGTGCCACCTAACTGCCTGCAAAAACTGAGATACTTCTCACTATTTAAAATGGCATTTAAACATAAAATTTACTAGCACTGTTATTTGGATTATATGATGGTGAAATGGATATAGTTATGTTTTTAAATGTTATGTCAACTAGCATTTTTCAATTCTATTTATATAACATGGTCATTTATGGAATCTCTATGGAACCTATGGAATCACTTGTTCCTCCTATCTCAATGCTTACTATTAATCTTTTAGAAATTATTATTTTTAAGTTATTATAACGAAATTCTAGTCTTCTGGCTCACTTTGTAAAATGCCCACTTGAGCAGAGAGTAGGAAGAAGGAAAGGATATGTCTGAGAAAAAAACATTTTCCCTTTTATGGAGGTGAAATGAAAGGCCATTTGTCTTAAAGACATCATTTCCCTCATGAGAAAAACTGAATAGACATATAATTTTTAAGCCTATCAAATGACTTATTTCAAGGATAGCTAATTCAGAGAAAACTAAAGCCTTTAAAAATTAGACTATATAGCAAAGAATTTCATAAGAACAGGAAAAGAAATGTCAGGAAAGCCACATATATAGTTAAATTAACTATTATTTAGTACATCACAGAGCTATGAATTCCAAATTAATTTTAATTAACAGTTGTCAGTTTGTCAGAACGAAACCTATTAACAAGGTAGATAATTTGACAGGTAGATAAATTTCTATTTCCTTAAAAGAAAAAGATAAATACCAAGCTGCTTTTCATTTGGGCAGCACACAGTTAACTTTTTTCCAAGGCTCAAAGGCCCATGATGTTGAAAAAGATTCTTTAACCTGTATCTAGAGTAAACACTTACAATGCTTTTGATAATTCTAGACCTTCATGAGAATATAATTAAAAACCAATGAAGCATACTATTACCAAAAGTCTAAACACTAAATTTTTATGAAATTGAGTAAATTAAAAATTTTGTCATGTAACAACTTCTCTGAAATGAATCATGAAATGTCATAAAAGTACATTTACAATATGGATGCTACTAAAAATAGTTTTATTTGGAATTATGGTATAAATGTGGCTACAGCTCCTGATTTTGACAATTACCTTAGAAATGAAAATTCCCTTTTCTTTAGGGCAACTGGTTTTTAATCAATGCATGCTATAAGCAGAAATAGGGGTCAGCAATTGTCTAATTAACCTTTATCCCTCTGAAGTTCATCCTTGGAGACTGCATCTGCACAGGCATCAAAGTACTTCTGTAGAGTATCAACTTGTCTACATAGGATGTCTCTAAAGGTTTCCATTTCAGCCAATTTCTCACGCAAACTGTGGCCTTTCTGGAAAAAAAAAAAAAGACAAAGGGGAAGGGAAAGAGAAGAAAATAATCCAAGTGTAGCAGTCATGCTTATTCTAGCCACTTTTTATGACCCTACCTCTTGGTGTGCTGTTTTCCTATGAAAAAGGTGTCTTCTTATCAGGGGTGACCCTTGGAATTGTGCCCTGGATTCCAGTTTCTTCCTAGAGATTGCCTAATAATCATCCCCTCTCACCTTCAATTTCTATCTACTTGGTTCCTTCCCAGCTGCCTAACATGCCAAGATCTGTCCTAGCAAAAAATTTAAAAAAAAATTTTTTTTAAAGAAAAAGGGAAAAAAGAGGAAAAAAAAATAAACCTTTACTTGTGTCTCCCTTTCTTTCAACTTAGTTCCCCATATGCCGCCTCCCCCCTTCATGGCAAAACTCCTAGAAAAAAATTCTATTCCAACTTCATTTCCCTTACCTCCCTTTTAATCTGCCTTCTGACCTCACTAACTCAATGAAATTGTTCTCTCCAAAGACAACAATGATTTCTGATTCACTAACTTCCAAGACCTTTGAATGAGAATGAGAATTCTTGATCCTTATTGTACTCTGCACTATGTGTCACTATTGATCATCCCTTCCTCCTGGATACTTCCTCCCTTTCTTTTCTGATTCTTCTACCCTTTTTTTAAAAAAAAAGCATTATTTCTCATTTTCTTTCACAGTATCAACATTCACCCAAATTCTCCCTTACCCCCCTTCCCCTTATTCTAGAAAAAAACACACTTGAAATTGACTGATCGATATTTGAAGTTTGATCACCTGGAGCATATAAACAGTGAAGTTCCCAATTTTAAAAGGGAAGGGTAAATGTTGCTTTGACTTTCACAATCCTTTTTTATATAGAAAAAGTATGGAGACTGAAATGAAACTAAAAGTATACTTTTAAAAACTGTACTCATTGGATGTAACATGGCAAATGATAAAAAGTTATAACAAAAACAATCTAGGTAGAAATCTAGAGAGGACATACAAAAGAGAAAATATCTTTGTCATGTTATTAGCATTCCTCAAAGCTATGGACCATGAAATATATTTTCTTGGTATTTTCAATAGCACAGCGCTAAGCGCCTATTAAGTGATCAAAAAGTAAGGATCGAAGATCTTGAACTGCAAACTCAAATGGTCATCAAGTCTTCATTTCAATATAATGAAACTAAGGCCCAGAGAGATGAAGTGATGTTTCCAAGGCCACACAGGGCTGAGTTGACATTCAGGTTCAGTCCTCTGACTCCAAAGTCAGCTCCTGGCCATGGCACTAGCTTAGGGGAAAAACCTACTGTGCATGTAGATTAGAGGCATCAAACCTACAACACCCATGGTACCAGATAAAAATGTAATTGGGAAATATTTAACAAAATAAATAAGAATACGATACAATATAGATAATGTGAATTTGTAGTATTCTAAGTCATTCTGAGTTCTGCAGGGTGGATTCTTTCTTCTACCACAGAAAAGGCAGGAATGGCCAATGGCACCAGTGGGCTCGAGAAGTAAAAGTGATGACAAACCACTAGACACAGTATGACCATATTTTTTTCCTAAGAAATTAATTCTTCCACACTAGAATATTCTTTACAACCCAGATGAATAAGAATTCTTTATTCATATGGCATCCGATATTATTATATGTTGTAAGTAAGTAAATTACTTGATTATTTTCCAGGTTAACTTCACGGTTCCAACAGTCAACTTGGTTATTTCTTAATGTGAAATTAGAGGAAAGCAAATTATCCTTGATTTCAGTAGGTTAATTGTGGATATTTGGGAGATGCTTTGACAGGTTGAGTTATTAGCTTTGTGATGCTGGGACAGGAGTCTCTTAACCTCTCTGGGCCCTGGATGCTTCAAGTAAAACATCAGGGGGTTGGAACACTTTAATTCCAAGGCCCCTTATATCTCTTACGCTACAATCCTGAAAATAGGCACCCTTACCAAAAATAGATTTCAATTGTTTCCATTATAAAATGTGATGTCACTGTTTTTTATAACAGGATTTTTCCCAAGTCAGCATGAGAAATAATGGTTTATATGGTTCTCTTTTTTCAGTCACTGAATATAAAAAGATGAATTACCCTGTTTGGTTGGCTCGCTTTCTCCAAATTAGAGAGACAGAGAAAACAAATATCATTTATAAATATTCACAGAAGCTACTACTGCTAAAAGAATTTCATTTATGATTTACTCAACTTCGTCAAATCCAGACACTTAAACAACTTCTGCCAGTTCTCCTACAATTATTTTTAAGCCACAAACATATACTTCTTATAAAATTCATAATTCATTTGAAATTTATATTGTTAAGACATTAGCATTACCCTTCATACCACCAACTCTATTCTCCAGCAATTAAGGGTTGGCTCTGGTACCAAGTACTGATGATATGAACAAGAAATTCATCTTAAGATAATGAGTGTGTGACCTTTTGAGAACTATTTACAAAACTGCTTTTAAAATGCTGCACGAATATTATACCTGAAAACAGGTTAACTATCATTAGAAATTATAGTCTGCATTCTTCTGGTATTTGAGCCTTTTCATGTCTTAAAATATTTTTACAAAATAATGCAACAAGAAAAAATTCCATTAAAATGATGCAAAGAAACAAAATTACCTCATTTTTATCTACTGTGTATGTGGATTTCTTTTCTTTTTTTAGGTAGGAGAGGAGAAAGAAGGAAGAATAATATTTTGGAATTTTTGTGGCAGAATTCTGACTCATTTAGCTTGAAAAACAATGTCATATCAATAAGATTCCTTTTTTTCAACTATTACATGCTTCATACCCACAACATAAAATTTAATATTCTCAAATTATTTAGAAGCTAAATAGCATAACTGTGTTGGTCCCCTTCACCCCTCATCCTGACATGAATTAGACAGAAATGAATGTCTCTATTTTTAAGGTTAAGCTTTATTTTTCATTTATGTTGCATTCTTTTGAATCATTTGTAATAACTAACCTTGAATGATGAGGTGGATGTTGCTGAATAACCACTTGCTCCAGACACAAGTGATACCATTGAGCCATGTCGGCGCAAGCTTGATTCTGATCCATAACCAGATTCAGTCTAAAAAGAAGAAATTACAGATAATTTTTCTAATACAAACAAACTCAAAGAAGGAAACTAATTTTCCTTAAAATAAAAACTTTAGTGTATTGGTCAAACAATTTCAAGCAGTGGCTAAACAACTTAAGCTATTGCTGCAATCTTAACAACATCTAATACCTCTGAATGCTTTTAGGAAAAGAAGGTAGGACATTGCTTGTTCTAATGTTCAAAAGTGGAACAAAAACTCTGAAACTTTTTTTAAAATTTCAAAATACATGATGGATAATTTAACAATAATGTTAAAGAATCTTATTTCACTTTTATTATTCAAATACTCCATACTTAAACAGATTTGTGATCTTATCAATTTGGTTGTTTCCTCCATCAATGTAAGTCACAGTCCATCCTTGCCTGCCTTCCCTGCACAACTTCAGTCCATGTCTTCTCAAAGGGCACACTCAATGCAATAGAAGCTTTCCTTATACTTTTGATCCTATTCCCTCCCATCATTTCCAGAAAATTTCCCTCAGTCTCATCCACATTACCCAATCTATGGGGCCCCTTTCTGCTGAGTACAAACATAAACCAAGTTTCCCACATCCTTAAAAAAATCTTATTAGATACTACTAACCCCACAAGTGATCACCTTATATAGCATCAAATGAGAGATCTGTAAAGTGCTAAGTACAGTGCCTGGCACACAGTAGGCACTTAATAAATGTTTGTTCCTTTTCCTTACCCTGTTATCTCTCCTCCTCTTCTTAAACTCCTTTTTAAAAAATTACTACACTTGGCACCTTTATTTCCTCTGCTTCTACTCATTTATATTCTCTTGATATCATCATTCAAGTGAAACCATTCTCTCCGAAGTTCCCAAAGATCTCTTAATTACCAAATCTAATAACCCCTTCTAAAAACCTCTGCAGCATGTGGCCCCCTACCCTCTTCTGGTAATTCTCTTTTCTGAGATTTTCGTACTGTTGCTCTTTTATCTCCTACCTCTGCCTGATTCTCCTTCAGACTCTTTTACTGGAGCTTCATTCACGTCACACCTAACTGTGGGTGTCCTCCAAGACTTTGTCCTGGGCCCTCTTTTACTTGGTGATCTCATCAGGTCCCAATTATCTCAGACATATATATATGCATCCTCAGTCTCTCTCCTAAGCTCCAGTTCCACATCACCACACTACCTGAAATGCTTTAAGCAAGATATGCAACAGCTTCCCTGTCTCAGACCTTAGTCAGCTCCAATCTATTGTGCACATACCAACCAAAGCAATTTTCTTAATGCTGTGTGATCATGTCACTTCTTCAATAAAATGTAGTGGTTCCTTATAACTTTCCTCTAGCATCAAATATAAACTCCTCTGTTTCACACTTAAAAGTTCATTTTAACCTGATCGCTAAACTACTTCATTCCACACTCCAAAACTTCATTTTCATTTGCTACTAATACATGGAATGTTCAAATTCCTGATTTCCTTCAAGACAGCTCAAACAGCACCTTCTTCATGAGGCCCTTCCAGCTAGTGCCTCCCACCTTCCCTCTCAAGGTTACCCTGTATCTACTTCATTTAAATCTTGTGTATGTTTGCGTTCTTTCTTGTTAGAATGCCATTTTCTTGGGGGTAGGGGATGTTTCCACTTTTGTCTTTGTATCCTAAGCACACTGCACAGGGTCTAGCACAGCAATGCTTTAATAAAGATTGTTACTAAGCTATCTACCATATGAAGTATATTATGATAGGCCCTTATTATGTGAGTTGTAAAATCCTATTGTGTTAGCTTCTTTTTGTCAGCTGCAGAGGAGGGGCTTGTGGAATATTTTCCTAGGGAAGGCTTCTATGTTTGTCTTGGCTGTTTGCAGGAGGAATAAGAAGCACTTTAGGAGCAAGAAGCACCTTCACCTGGGAATGAGGGAAGAAGGAGGTCACTACAATTGGGAAAGATTCATTTGGTGCTGGTGCTGGTGCTAGTGCAAAGCTGGTCTCAGAGATTTGACTAAACTCAGCTACTGTCTCCCTACACAAGGTAAGGTTTAATCATAAGAAGTGGACAAAAACTATTACAGAATGGCTTTGGTCAAAGCCATGTGGATTGTGTTTTATTGTAATTCAAAAAAGTATATCATTAAGCACCTGCTGCATGTAGGGTATTGTTTTGCGCATGAGGATTTAGAAACAGCCTACTCTGAAGGAGTTTACCACTTCATGGGGATGGGAGGGAAGAAACTGAGATCTACTGAGGAAAGGACTCCTCTCCTGCCCACAGGTGTCCTATATCCATGTCTTCAAGAGTTATACTACTGGCGCAGCTAGGTGGCACAGTGGATAGCGCACCAGCCCTCAAGTCAAGAGGACCTGAGTTCAAACCCAACCTCAGACCAAACACTTGACACTTACTAGCTGTGTGACCCTAGGCAAGTCACTTAACCCCAATTGCCTAAAAAAAAAAAAAGTTAACACTACTAAAAGACCAAGTGGCTGATATACAGTCTTTCTCATCTCTCAGAAAGCAGAGTTATCCTACCTAGACTTTGACCTTACTGATACTATTTAATGTGAGTTCCCTCTTCTCCCATTTTCATTGTCTCAAATACCCTGGACTTATCTCCCACTCTTTCCTCCCTTTCCCCAAGCTCTGACAAAGACGTTATCCTACTCTTTACCAAAGCTAACCCCAAAGTGTGCACCTGATCCCATCTTCCAGCAACTGTATCCTCAACCATACTTTCCAGAGTCTTTGATCTCTATCTCCTTCATCCTAAAAAAGAAAAAAAAACAACCCTTTACTAAACTCATTATCTGCCAAACTCCTTGAAAAAGTTATCTACTCTTGCTTCCTCTACATCCTTTCCTCGACTCTTTGCAATTTGGATTTCAATCTCGTCACCTGACGGAAACTAGTCTCTCAAAAATTTCAGTTATCTATTAATCATAAAATCTGATGGTCCTCTCTCAATCCTATTTGCTGCATTTGTTAGTGTATGACCACCCTTATCCTCCAGGATGATCTTTCCTTCCTGGATTTCTGTGACACTCTTCTTTCCCAGTTTGCCTCCCACTTGTCTAACTGCTTCTCAGCCTCCTTCCTGGGCTCATCATCCCCATCATGCTTCTTGCTCTGTTTTGGTTAGCTGTTCCCTCCCTCTCTCCTCCCCAAGTACTTCTCTCTTCCTCTCCTACAATAACTACATTATCTCTCGAGGGTTCAAGTATCATTTTTATGTAGATGACTCCCAGATCTATATACCCAGCCTCAGGCTTTTGCATAAGATTCTGTCCTACATCACCGATTGCCAAATGGACATTTCAAACTAGAAGTCCTGGAGACTTCTTAAATTCAGCATTTCTAAAACTGAACTCATTAGCTCCCCCCACCTCCCATAATTCCTGCCTTCTTCCAAACATCCCTATTTCTGTAAAAGCCATATCCTTCCCAGGTATTGGGTTTCTAATACCAGCATCATTTTAGAGTCCTCATTCTCTCACCCCACAAATCCAACCAGTTGCCAAATCTTGCCATTTCTACCTCTACAAACATCTATTATATCTAACTCCTTCCTTCTCACAGAGTTACATAGTTACCTCTTTACTTCAGGCTCTCAACCTTTTGCCTAACTTATTGCAAAGTCTCTCTTCACATGCCAGTCCATCCAGTACTCAGCTGCCAAAGTAATTTTCTTTAAGGCTGATTTGACAATGCCACTCCTCTGGTCAATCAACTCCAGTGGCTTCTTATTGTTTCTAGGATTAAATATAAGCTCCTCTGTTTATCTTTTAAAGCCCTACACAAACTAGCCCTAGCTTATCTTTCCAGCCTCACTGAACATCACCCTCCCCTGCCCCCTCCAACCTCTATGATCCATCCAAACTGGCTTTCCGTTTTCCCAGACGCTACAAACCTCTCCAACGCCTTTGCACTTGCTATTCCCATTCCACAAGCCAGTGACTGACTCCCCTAAACACTCCAGCCTTTGAGAGTTTCTCTCTTCCTTTAAGATGCCAGCCAGGCTTTTGCGTGAAGCCTTTCCTGATCCACCTCAAATGCTAGTATTCTCCCTCACAAACTACCTTGTATATCTATTAACTCTGTATTTATGCAGTACATATTTTCATACATACTTGTCTCCAATACTATACTGCAAACTCACTGACAATACAGAGACTGTTGCATTCTTTCTATTTCTATCCCCAATGCCTAGTAGTGACTGGTACCTAGTGGGCACTTAATACCTGTTGATTAATACTGAGTCTGTAACTGGTTCTTTTCCTTAACTGATAAATACTTACAAGTTGCATCTCCACAACAGGGGCAATTTTATGGCTTTTCTGATAAAAATAATTCCTTAACAAAGATGATGATGGGGCAGCTGGGTGGCACAGTAGACAGAGCTCCAGCCTTGGAGTCAGGAGGACCTTGAGTTCAAATCTGCCCTCAGACATTTGTACTTACTAGCTGTGTGACCCTGGGCAAGTGACTTAACCCCAATTGCCTCACCAAAACCAACCAACCAACAAACAAAAAAATCAGTGTTCCTGGGGACAGACAAGATGTTCTTAAGGAGCAGCCAAAATGTTATCCCTGGACAAGTCACCTAACCCCAACTGACTCACTAAAAAGCAAAAAACAAAACCAAACAAACAAAAAACCAACCAAACAAAACAAAAACAAAAACAAAAACAAACAAAAAAACCCAACAAAACAACAAAACCTAAGATGATGATAAGGTTGAAACCAAGTAGAGCAGCTGGTGTAAAATGAAGAGAACAATGAAGAGAATAGAGAGAGAAAAACTGAGAAGACCCAGAACATAGTTCTGGACTACATCCACACACTGCGTGCGATACATGTTTGAATGGAGAATTCCTCAAAGGAAGCTGAAGATTGGTCAGATGGGTAGGAAGAAAACCATGACAGAAGAGTCAGGAAAACTCAGGGTGAACAAAGAATCCAGAAGGTGGGTGTGGTCAACATGTCAAACCTACAGAGAAGCTAAGAAGACTGAGAAAAGGTCC